TCTGGCAATGGATTTTCATCAGCAATGATGTTAGCAAACTCATCAACGAATTTCTCCGCTCCTTCAAGATCAGCAGTTGCTTTATCACCACATGTCTTTAAAAATCCCATGTCTTAGCCAGGCTCAGTGGCTCAGCCTGTAATTCCGCGCCTTTGAGAGGCTGAGGTTGAGTGCATTGCCTGAGCCCGTGGGTTCGAGACCCGCCTGGGCAGCGAGATCTCATCTCTACAATAAATCCAAAAAATCAGCCGGGCGTGGTAGCACATGTCTGTAATTCCGGCTGCTTGGAAGGCTGAGGCGGAAGGATCGCCGGAGCCCAGCAGGTCGAGGCTGCGGTGGCCGGGAGCGGCCACTGCACTCCAGTATGGGCGACAGAGTGAGACTCCAACTCAAAAAAAAAACAAAAAAATGCCATGTCTTTTCTTAAATTTCTGCAGCCAGGCTGTTGAATATTCAGTTTCAGTTCATCATCATAGAACTTGTTTCATGGTCAGTGTATCAGGTGGCACGTGTTCGCTGCAGTGTGGATGGGTGTACTCTTTCAATACACAGTCAAGATCTTCATCTTTAACTTTATGAACATTTTCCTGTTTTTTACTGACTTCATCACTTTCAGCATAGAATTTTAACAGTTCATCCTTCTGTTTCTTCAGGTCCTATATAGTGGGCAGTCCAATACTGTTCTGTAAGACATGTCACATTTAGGCTGTCTGGTTTCAACAGTTTCACTTCTGTGCTATAGACACACATACCTCTTTTTCTTATGTCTGTTACCCATAGGGGTACTTGCAGGCCTTTTTTTTTTTTTCTTGACATTTTTAGCAATACCTTTACACCACAGAGCAGCATATAAGCAAAAATAACACAGTAGTGCTGGAAGGTCTTGTTCCCATGTGAGGCATAGTGGGGAACCTGCCATTAGTGCATCTGGCCTGCACACGTGCTATTTTATTACCCTTGGTGGAAGTAAGTACCTGTTCAGGAGAATCTGGGCATGTGGGAAAAAGATACCTCAAAGTTGAAAGGGGCTGGGAGTTTGTTTTTTTCCCCTGTGGATACTGAATAAACTGATGTGTGCCTGCATTTTGACCTATTACATGAGGTCAGGTGTGGATTTTCTCACTTGTGTCGGCACTCAGAATTTTTGGATTTGGAATTTTTAGATTAGAGTTGTTTAACCTGTATTTGGCATTGATATTGAAAGGAACTTGAGATATGCGCTGAAGGATGGGAGAGGAGAGTTTTAGATGGTGGATACAGTGAAAGAATTCAAAAATAAGATTGAATTTGGATAGGGGAGTGAAAGTTTAAACAATGAACTTTGCCAATGACTGTGTGTTTGGGGGGGGCATGCTTTCACATACAGACATGCATATGCAAGTTTAGGTACCAGATCAGAGATAGCATGCCCCCAATATATGTAGCCACAGGTAGCCTCCAGACGTCAGACATTTAATCCGTGGTAACGTTTTCCATAAGACTAAAATAGTGAAGAAGTGACTTACCAGCTAGTTCAGTTAATTGAGCTACTGCCAGGCATCCTTTATTTTGCCATCTAAAGTGGGAGACTTAAGTGTGTCTTTCCCTAACCCTGTAGAGAACTGAAGTCATTCCTCTCTCATTTTTAGGGTGATGAGAAAATTGTAAGCACCATTGCTGATGCTTGTTCACTTGCTGACAGTGAGCTGTCATATGCATTTAACCTGTGTTTTAATCTCATGGCTATTAGAAGTTTGCCATTCATTTTACCTGTGTTTTAATCTCATGGCTATTAGAAGTTTGAGTTTTCACTAAAAGCTGGGTACAGAGGATGGAATGTAATAAAACATTCAACTGTACACTGAGAGTGCCCCTGCTTTGTACCAGCCACTGTGCTAGGTACTGATTACACCAGAAGGGAATAAAAGGTTTTGTTGAGGCATCAAAAGTGACAAGTTCAAAAAGGCATCAAAATTGACAAGCTCAAAAGTTGTTTTGAGCAGTGGAAAAAGCATCCTGATGCTTTGACCCTGGAATATGACCCTGGAGTGTATGGTCTTATGGGAGACAGTGAAATCTAAGAAGCAAGCACAAATTGAAAATGCTATCATTATTGTGATAAATACTATAAATGAAAGCATGCTAAAAGAGAGAATACAGGGAAACTTACTTTTCTTTAGGTGGTTAGAGATGGTCTCTCAGAATAAGCAGCCTTTGTGCTGAAGTCTGAAGGATAAAGAGGATTCCACCCATGGTAGGGCAGATAAGGGGTAGCAATGGGGCTGGGTGTAGAGAGAGGGAAACCCTTGTTAAAAACCTGATGTGGGAATGCGCTGATAAATAAATGGTTTGGAAGGACATGGTCTCTGTTCTTTTAAATACTAGAGTGAGGGAGGTACAAAAACATATATTACACTGTGACAGGTACCATAATAGTGCTTGAGTAAGTGCTAGCTTAGTTTATTAGAATCATGCATGCTGGAAAAGCTTTCCTCAAGTAGGGGATATTTAAGGAAGACCTTAAGGATAAATAAGTATTTGTAGGAGCGTAGGGAAAATGTTTCTATACAGTAACTGGGGTCAGAATAAAAGTATTCTACGTTCTTAATGTTACTAATTTATTTGGGGGGTAAAATATAGATATTGTAAATTTTTTCTAGAACCTTAAGCCCAGTGAAGCTTTTGAAAAATTGAATTAAAACGCAGGAGTGATACTATTCAGAAAATTGTAGAATTTTTTTTTGTCTGTTTTATCACATTTACATATGGTAAGAAGGGAGACCCCCTCCAAAAAACCCAGGATTTGCTTATAAAAACTTGTGTATTTATTCTTACATGCTTAAACTTCAGTCACCTTCAAAGTACTCTCCGTTTGTTGCAATACACCTATCAAGATGCTTTTTCCACTGCTCAAAACAATTTTTGAACTTGTCAGTTTTGATGCCTTTTTGAACTTGTCACTTTTGATGCCTCGGCAAAACCTTTCTCCATCTGAGGACCTTTTTGATCCAGGGAAACAAACAAAAAAAGTCCATTGGGGCAAGAGTGGGTGAATAGGGAAGGTGGGGCACGGGGGTTGTGTAGGTTTTAGTCAAAAACTACTGAACACTCAGCACTGTGTAGGCAGATGTGCTTGAAAATCACTTATCATGAAATGGGCAAACACGTTGAAAAAAATCTCCAAAAAAAATTCACTAAAGCTGAACACAGCCTCTCACAACAATGCCAGCTGGTATACTGATGCCAATGGGTTCCTAAATCACTTACCTAGCATGGGAAAGCCTATACTACAAGAGACTCACCTTCTAAAACAAATTCCAGGTTTTTGGGGGATCCTCTCATATACTGTTTTGTTATCCTGTCTTTTAAAAGATTGGCATATATAGAAACCGGTTTTGAAAGACTGATTTTTCTAGGTACTGTTTTTTAATTATTATGAAAAGCATAAATAGGAAAATAGAAAAGTATAATGAATTGCCATGTACCTATTACCTAAATATTATAATAAATATTTTTTCACTGCTTTATTTTTTTCAGTATTTTAAAAACATGATACTTTTCCACCAAATGTATAAATACTCATTTCTTTTTCTTTCTTTCTTTCTTCTTCTTTTTTTTTTTTTTTTTGCTAAATCTCACTTTGTCACTCAAGCTGTAGTGCAGTGGCATGATCATAGCTCACTGCAGCCTCGACTTCCTGGGCTCAGGCGATCCTTCCACCTCAGCCTCCCAAGTACCAGGGACTGCAGACATGCATTACCATGCCTAGCTAATTTTTGGATTATTTTGTAGAGACAAGGTTTCTCTTTGCTGCCCAGGCTGCTCTCGAACCTTAGGGCTCAAGCAATCCTCCCGCCTCAGCTTCCCAAAGTACTGGGATTACAGGCATGAGCTACCACACCCAGCCTAAATACAATTTTTAAAATAGGGAAAAAAATTTTAAAGAACATTTTCCTATACAAGTTGAGTATTCCTAATGCAAAAATTCAAAAAACTGTGAGCACTGATGTAACACCATAAGTGAAAAAGTTCACACCTGACCTCATGTGAAACATCACAGTCAAAATTCTGTTTCATCCACAAAAATATTTAAATTAATGAATGAAATTACCTTCAGACTATGTGTATAAGGTATATATAAAACATAAATAAATTTTGTTTAGACTTAAGTGTCATCCCCAAGATATCTCATTATATATATGAAAATATTCAAAGGTTAGCAAAAAAAAAATGAAATCTGAAATACTTGTGTTCTAATCACTTTGGTTAAGGGTAATCATAAAATCATGTATAAAATCATGATCAGAGCTACCAAAATTAACAACTCCTTAACATCGTTTAATCCAGTTCTTCTACATGTTTCTCCCAGTTATCCCTGACAAAGTTCACATAATGCATTTAGTTGAAACATACCTCTATTCTTTTATCTCTAATTCTTTTAACACGTCCTACATTAGAAAAATAATATTTTCTTGTTGAAAATGGGATCATTTTCTGTTTACTGTCCCACCTTTTGGATTTATCTGAGTGTTTTCTGCAACCTGGGAATTAGATCCAAAGACTTGATTACATTCCGGTTATATATTTATTCTTTTTTTTAAAAAAAAGGACAATGGAATACAATAAAAAGGTCCATATTTTTATTTCCAGGATGACTTCTGTTCCTTCTCATCCTTCCTCCCTTCTCCTCTTCCTCTGTCTTTTCTTGCTTTCCACACACACAAGAATGAAAAGATAGGAAATTCAAAAAGCACAAAACAGAAAGATGCAAAATTGATTGAAAACTTCTCTTCCACCTTTCCCAAGTTAAACCACTGATTATCTTTCCTTCCCATATGAAGGTGTCTTGCGTTTGCAACATGTTTCCTATGTGAAAGGTTGAATTTTTTAAAATTTAATCACCTCAAAGATGGCTTTGAAAACAACTTTTTGGACTAAAAGGACTCATATAGCTCTCTAGATAATGTTCCATTTTTGAACTTCTGAAAGAGCATATTTTAAATGTAATTCTCAAATTATTTAAACTACTGATAGCTCCATTTTATTACTATTAAATTACACAATTTGGCCTCTTTGCTTAGAGACGCCACACAGACAGCCAAGGAAACCAATGAGTATCTGACTGAGCCCAAACAGGAGCTCAAGAATTCCAACAAGCAACAGACCTAAAAATACCGAGAGGTGGATAATCTTATATTTGTTTTCTTCAGGGTCGAAGTTCAAAAGAGGTTTACTCCAGTCATTGGCCATATCATTGCTGGTGGGGTAATTGAAACCACAAGAGTTATTGAAGAACCACTGCAGGTTGAAGGATTCTGGATGAATGTCACTGAAAAACAAAAAACACGATGAAAATAAGGTATTCAGAAATATCACTGATCCAAAAAATACAGCATTATACCCAGAAAAGAATAAGTACAGTGAAACAATGTACTTATGAAATATTGTGCCCAGCTGGGCGCAGTGGCTCACACCTATAATCCCAGCACTTTGGGAGGTGGAGGTGAGAGCTCAGCAGTTCGAGACCAGTCTGAGCAACACAGTGAGACCTTGTCTCTACAATAAATAAAAAAAAATTAGCCGGGCATGGTGGCACATGCCTATGGTTCTAACTACTTGGAAGGTTGAGGCAGAAGGATCGCCCGAGCCCAGTAGGTCAAGGCTGCAGTGGCCATGAGCGTGCCACTGCACTCCAGCCTGGGCAACAGAGTGAGACTTCGACTCAAAAAAAAGAGAAAGAAATATTGTGCCCAGAAATAATAGGTAAGATCAGGGTCTCTGAGCATGTCTCCTAACAGTTTTAAAACTTATATTCAATATATATCCTATTATTGAACAAGCATTCCTACAGTACATCTACTCTTAGGTTGAACCATATGAAATTGCTGTTTTTCCTATGTCAGAAATGGTTGAATATCAACAATTTTGCATGAAGTAACCTATTTACACAGGGACTCTTGTTCTTGTTAAAGATATGAAAACAGCCGGGTTCGGTGGCTCAGCCTGTAATCCCACACCTTTGGGAGGTTGAGGTGAGTGGATTGCCTGAGCCCACGGGTTCGAGACCCGCCTGGGCAGCGAGACCTCATCTCTACAATAAATCAAAAAATCAGCCGGGCATGGTAGCGCATGCCTGTAATTCCGGCTACTCGGAAGGCTGAGGCGGAAGGATCGCCGGAGCCCAGCAGGTCGAGGCTGCGGTGGCCGGGAGCGGCCACTGCACTCCAGTCTGGGCGACAGAGTGAGACTCCAATTCAAAAAAAAAAAAAAAAAAAAAGATATGAAAACAAAATAAAGGACCCCCCTCCCCTTTAGAAGGAGTTCAGTTCTTTGTGCAGAACTTTAGTGTTGCGTCTGCTTTTAAACTAGATGTATAGTTTTCAACTCACAAAAAACATTTAAACTATATCTGAATTAGAGTGACTTGTGTCTATTCTAATAGGGCTATGGACAATTAGAAACTTTCAGTCCTAATGCAAGTCCATGATGACTTTTTGTTTGTTTACTGTAGAGTAAGTCAGGGTGTTCTTAGGGAGTTTGCATTTCTCTATACCAACAGCTGAGTTCAACCTGGGAAAAATATAGTATTTTTAGCACATGCAGTATGAGCCTGCTTTGTGAAATTTGCAGTGAGCATAGGCTAACTCTCTTGTAACTGGTTGCTAGCCTAGTCCATCTCTCCAATTAGATTGAGAATACCTGAGTGTTGTTATCTGCTAAGCTTAGCCTGGTGCCTGGTACATCACAGGCTGTTGCCATTCTCTGAGGATTGAATGTGTATGGCATCTGTGGTAGAAATTGCTAATCTTCTACTTCAAATCTATTAGTAAGGAGAATTTCCTTGGGTTTTGAGTCAAATAATTGTGCTATGCAAATTTTGAGGGACTTTTCTTGTTTAATATAGCAAGGAAAGAGAAGGTGAAACAACAAAAATAATTTTTGTTTTTTGGGAATGTAACATTTTAAAAATGTAACTATGAAAGCAAATTTCAGTTTCTTACCAAATTGAGCAGCCTATACAGTTAGCTAATGAGTTAGATTGTTTTTTTCTTCCAGTTTTTATAAATTGTGTTTGGATTCAGTCACAGAACCGCCTTAACAGACTCAAATGAGACTGGGCGTCGTGGCTCACGCCTGTAATCCCAGCATTTTGGAAGGCTGATGTAGAAGGATTGCTTGAGCCTAGGAGTTTGAGACTCCAGTTTGGGCAGCAGAGTGAGACCCCCCCCAACGAAAAAAAAAAAGACTCAAATGAGTCATTTACATTATAACTCCTCAGTATACATATTATTACATACTACATGGCTTAAATTTTTTATTCATTCACATTGCCTACAGTATATATATAGTATGCATGAATGAATGTATTGGCTGCTTTGTTTCATTTAGGGCCTACAGGCAGGGCTAATTTTATTTATCGTGTCTTTATTAAATTTTTAAAATTGTAAGCATAATATTTGTTCCTGGGTTACAAATTTAGTTAGTTCAGAAGTATAGAAAGTAACGTTCCCTTCACTCTCCCAGGGAACCCCCTATTGCTGTTCTTCAAGGATGAAATTTAAGTTTCTGGTGCTTATTTCCAGAAATTTTTTATATACATACACATATGTAATCAGATTTTTAAAAGACAAACATAAGTTATCTGAGATCAACTAATACTTTTAAACAATATCATACCCAGAACACTCTAAACCTAGTGAATCTTCCATCTCTGTGTGAGATTGTGCTCATTGGGATTAATGTACTCAATTCCTAAGAATCTATTCATCCCACCAGTTATGTCAAAGAAAAACATGACATCGTTTCAGCACCATGCCATTCTAATCTAAAAATGCAGCTGTGTAAGACAGTAAGCCAGTGAATATCGAGTTACTTACCTGATATTTTTCAATGAAAATTCACAGTTGGCAGTACTGTTGCCTGGAGAGTTACATATGAGAGGACCTTCTGAGAGAGCCTGGATAGAGATCAACATGCAATACACAGCACCAATGACTGTGATCACATTTAAAAATGATGAAAGAAGCATCTGAAAAATAAAGTAGAACCAGTTGCACATTATTACATGTTCCTGATCTGTCTCAAGTTTCAGCAGCCATTGTCCAGTCACTCTGTAGTTCTAGATCTTAGGATCACAGTGTGACTAGGTGTGAATTATAAAAGAAAGCAGGGGGCAGAATCTCTGCCGTTTGATTACACTCACTAAAAAATAGTTGGGCTTGCCACTATCTCTGAAAAAAGTCTCAACTTTAATATTCCTGAGCCTTTTCCGTGTCATCAGTCTACTGAGCTCTAGTCCCTCCTCCCTGTTTTGTGTACTTCCTGCTTCACAAAACCTTGGCTAGATTTTAACCACCCACTTTTTGATGTCTGGTCTCTTGGCTCCCAAATCTTTCATCTGAATTTGGCCCTGGTACTATACGTGGTCAGTGGCCAGCTTAGAGTTAAGAGCAGGAATTTCCAACCTAAGCACCACTGACATTTGGGCATTGTGCAGTTGGATCCTTTCCTGTGCAGTGTTGGATGTTTAACAGCATCCCTGGTCTCTACCCACTAGATGCCAGTATCACCCTTGCCCCATCCCCCAACCCAGTTGTGACAACCAAAAATGCCTGCAGACATTGCCAAATATCCCCTTAGAGTGGGTAGCTAACATCACCTCAGTTGAGAACCACTGTGATAGAAACATAAGCGTCTTTTATTTCATGAGTCAGAGTCATGAGAGTACAAAAAAGCATGGACTTTGGCATAGGCAATGAAATGAAAGTATGGGTGTTTTTCCAAAAGTAAGCTTTTATGTTGTTTCAGTGAATTTATTACTCAATGATGATTATGGGTCTTTCAAAATTCGCAGAAATAAAGTGAGGTAATACTTTGTATATTCCTTTGGTGGAATCATACTGCAGCTCTTAGAGGATTTATATGCTGTACTCTTCAGACCTACCTTTAATGAGTACAGAATAAAGTGACTGCCTATACAGTTATGTTGAAAATCATATACTTTACATATATTACCTCATTTAATTATTTGAATAGTGCCAAGAGATAGACACTATTATCTATCCCTTAGAGCTTAGATGAGAAAACTGCCTTTCATCTACTGCCATACTGCCTGAAAGCGTCCAGTCTTGTCTGAGAAAACTGCGTTTCATAGAGGTGAACAAACTTGTCAGGATCTCACAGCTGGGAAATGCTTTAATCACTATACTATATGTCTTCTAGCTGAAGGTACGGAATGCTATATTTTGAAGCCTAATTCAAATCCTGCTTCTTTCACACTGCTGTGACCTGTGTGTTGCTTAAATTGACTCAAGAAGTGACTCTATGTTTATTTTTGTTCATCTGTTATTTTTGACTTCTCATCACTACCCAGAGGCTTGGCTTCAAAACGTGATTCCAGGCATCTGTAGTTATCTTAGAGTGGGGTTCATTGAAATGATTCAGCAAAACCGTTTTGTATTCAGAAACAAAATGAACTGGAAAAGGGGACAGTTAAGACAGGGAACAATCTTTAGTGACTCCTTTCCTTCCCTCCTAAAATTTAGCTCTTGTCGCTTTTATGATGCTTCGGTCTTACGGAAGATGCTAGGTATGACTTAAATGCCGGTTCTCATATGGCTGCCAACAAGAGAGAAAAGTTGCTAAGAACTTTTATATTTTTTATTTTTGACATTTTATCAATATGAACTGGCGATTTTGATGAGGTAACCAGCACAGTACCCCTTTGGCACTCCAGGGACGCCTGTAGCTTCCCAGCATGTCATAATCTAGAATTTTGCTGAACCATGACTTGGAATTATATTCATGGTGAGTAGAGAGGAACAAAACCAACCTAGTAAGTTAAGTGTGTTGGCTATTGTGCCTGAAAGTTGTGTTTGTTATTCTCCGCCTGCTGTGTCCTCACAAGAGAGAGAAAACTTAGGTGATCACTGAAAAGATTTCATTTTTATGAAAGAATATGTGCAAGAAAAAAAAAGATACCTAATGGAAAAGGTGATTTGAGATAACTCATATACGTGTTTTGATATTTTTGAGTTCAGGGATTCTGAAATATCTCAGGATATCTCTGTCAAGAACATTGTGAGTACAATATAAGAGAGACACAAAATCAAGATTCAAGTTATTATAGTTTATAAAGAAAATTGATGAAAGGGAAACTAAAAGCTAACATTTAGTGAATATCTAAAATATATCAAGAACAAAGACTGGAAATAAAGTAATTTTGTAATCCTAGATAAATATCAAATGAAAAAGTAATAAAAATGAATCTTCTAACTGTTCTGTATATGAAAGATCTATTTCCTTTAAAACAGCGGTTCTAACCCCTAGAAACACATTAGAATCACCTTGAGTGCTTTTGAAAAATACTGATGAAGAATCTCTGGGAGCAACCCAGGCATTGGTATTTTGTTTGTTTTTGTTTTGTTTTGAGTCAGAGTCTCACTCTGAGTCCAGCCCAGGCTGGAATGCAGTGGTACACTCGCGGCCACCCCAGCATCGACCTGCTGGGCTCCAGAGATCCTTCCACCTCAGCATTCCAAGTAGCTGGAACCACAGGCATGTGCCACCATGCCTGGCTAATTTTTGATTTATTGTAGAGACGAGGTCTCAAGTTGCCCAGGCTGGTCTCGAACCCATGGAATCAGGCAATCCACTTGCCTTGGCCTCCCAAAGTGCTGGAATTTCAGGCTGAGCCACAGAGCCGGACCAGCATTGGTATTTTAAAAATTACCCCAGATGGAGCTAAACACTGGGTACACAGGAACATAAAGATGGAAACAATAGACACTGAGGACTCCAAAAGTGGGAAGGGAGGAAGCGGGTAAGGTTTGAAAAATTACCTATTGGGTACTGTGTTCACTATTTGGATGACAGGTTCAATAGAAATCCAACCCCCCCAATATACCCATGTAGCAGACCTGCACATGAACCCCCTAAATCTAAAATAAAATATAAAAAATTCCCTCCCCCAAAAGAAAGCAAATAATAGTAAAATCTCCCCCTAGACAATGCTAATATTCCCATCTCTCTGAGAAGTATTGCTCTAAAACCTCAAGTTCAGCCAGGCCTGTTTACTGTGACTGCTTATGACTGATATATGCTCTCTTCCTTAGGGAATTGTGAGAGCCCTCAGTTTTTACTTAATAGCCATATTTATGGCATAAATTGTATAAAGACTGAATTTGGGAGTTGATTGGATTTGGATAAAAATCCACGTACTAGCTGTGCTACACTGACAAATTATTCACTTTCTCTGAGCATCAGTTTCTTGGTCAATAGAACAGATCTTACTCTTTCCTACCTAAGAGTTTTCAGACAATTAAATGAGATAGCATATTTGAAAGTGTTCTGAGCAGAGTGATACTTAGGCTAATGAATATTAATTTACTTTTAACTTAGTTACAACTTTATTCAGAGTGGGTAGGAAATAAATGTTAAAAAAAATAGTAACTAGCAGCTCCCTTAGTTTAACTAGATAAGGGCAATAATCCTAGCAAACCAGTCTTTCATATGCACGAGAGAACTGAGTATGTTTTCCCTAAGTTTTTCATACACACCACGAAACTAATAAGTATTTGAGTATTATAAAATTGATTACGGTTCTGGGTTTGACTTTTTAAATCTCCTTTCTTTGAAAACCTTTTAGATTGATGAACTGAAGATTGAGGAAAGGACTAAAGGCAAAGCTAAATTTTTATGTTTAAAAAAAACCTTCTCACTTCCCTATTGCTGTATCATCTCCCAAAGAGATGCTTCTGAGGCTGGATGGATGCAGCCGACTCAGGGTGACTTTGCTCAGCTGTCAATGCTGTTAATGCACTTCTGCTTCCACAGCGATCACCCTGTACTCACTCCGGTTTTGTTGTTGCAGCACGCTCTCTTTCTTGCTGCCAAGGACATCATTGTTGCTGGAATAACCTGGAAATGGCATCAACAGGAAAGATGAGTGTCATTACTTCTCATCAGAAGAAAAAGCAATAATCTTTGCCCTCCATTTACCACCAGTTGTGGGAAGTCAAGGCTCAAGAGAGCAAAAAGGAAATTTGGCAATATCCTTGGTCTTGTGAACCTTATGCTCCCAATTTCAACCATAAAGATTAAGAGGAACAAGGGGAATTCAAGATAGCAGTTTTAAAGCCTTTCATGTACATTCTCAGTTTACTCAGAGTCAACAGCAGAGAGATTTGGATTTTAAAAAGATTAAAATGGTTTATTTATGTATTATTTTGGAAGAAATTTTTCTGAAAGAATTAGTTGCTTCATCCAAAATTCACTTTGTTTCTCTCTGTCATTTTAGTTACTACAATCTACAGCCACTTATCCATTTCCCATAAATTATATGAATTAGTCTAGCAGTCCTCCAGAAAAGAAACTGATGATTTTGTTTGGTTGGCCTAATTACTGGGAACTAGTAATTCTGTCACCCCTTCCCACTTGCCTAGCTTTCTTCTCCCAGGGTCCCCGCCATCTTGCTGGATTCCCCAAATTTATATTTGAGAATTATTTTGGGTTCCACATTCTTCTTTCTGTCCACGATCTGAAATGATCTCACTTTACATGATGTTCAGAAATCTTGGATAGACTGTATTCTGTGTTAAGGAAAATACTGCCAAGGAAAGCTGTAAGAAATGACATCATGGCCCAGCACAGTGGCTCAAGCCTGTAATCCTAGCACTGTGGGTGGCCGAGACCAGAGGATTGCCTGAGTCCAGGGTTTCGAGACCAGCCTGGGCAACTTGATGAGACCTCATCTTTACAATAAATAAAAAAATTAGTCAGGCGTGGTAGCATGCGCCTGTAGTTCTGGCTACTTGGAAGGCTGAGGTGGAAGGATCGCCTGAGCCCAACAGGTCGAGGCTGCCGTGACTAGGAGCGTGCCACTGCACTCCAGCCTGGGTGACAGAGTGAGACTCAAAAATAAAATAAAATAAAATAAAAAAGTAAAGAAATAACATCATATTCTTTGGATTTGGGTTTCAATTTTTAGTAATATGTAGGCAGCAGCTACGCTAGAAGTTCTAACTAGAAGGAGTTTCGTATCATTGAAGGATGGAAAATTAATCACTTCCTTCCACTTGAGAAATTTTAGCTGTAAGGGTTTTTTGTTTGGCCATAGCAGAACTTTCTTTCCTGCTCCTGTTTTCTATTACTTTACTGGGCTCTATCTACATGTCAGGCACTGCCACAGGTGCTTTACATCCTTCAGTTGATTCCATCCTCATAACAATGCTATAAGGTAGATGCTACTATTATCCCCATTCTACCAATGAGAAAACTGAGGCATGGAAAGTTTGAGCAAATTGTTGAAGAAAGTGGGAGGGTTAGGATTCAAAACTCGCATTTGGGCTTCAGAGGCCAGACTTAACCACTATTCCACACTGACTCAGTTCTTAGAATTCTTCCCTATTCCTATATAGCATTTTTTCATTCTCATTGTCCCCTCCACCACCACTCTCACTCACTCATTGTCCTTCTAACTGGTTCTTCTCTGATCTGTTTTTCCAAGGCCACATCTACCCTTGTTCTTCCAGAACAGGTTACAGATTTATACCTCTTCTTAACAAACTTCACACCATCTCATTATGTGCTAACTCCATGTCACTTTGTATTACTATCAAGCTTTGCTTACACGTTGTCTTGAATACCAGCACCCTTACAAATTGGAGGGCACATACATATATGGCTGCCCAGCCACCCCAGGGCATAACTAAAAGCCCAGAAGAAACAGGAAAAGAAATTTTAGCCCCCAAATCGGTGTCAGAATTCATGCACCAAACCTCCTTTGTTATATCCATAAGCTTGACCTGCCTTCTGAGCTTATAGAACAAGTAATTTAGAACAGAAATTGACAAACTATGGCCTACCACCTCTTTTCGGTAAATAAAGTTTTATTGAAACACAGTCATATCTGTTCATTTACATATTGTGTGTAGCTACTTTTATGCAGCAACAGTAGAGTTGAGTAGTTGTGGAAGAGACTGGCTTGCAAAGTCTTAAATATTCACCATCTGGCTCTTTATAAAAAAAAAATTTGCAACCACTGATTTTAAAAATTCATGAATCTTTTGAAAGAAAATAATCTTTTTCATTACAACTTAAATGGATAAGTCATTTTGTTTTCTTTATTAGTGAAAATTAAACTCTGATAACTTTTGATGATTAGTTTATTTCAGAGATACTAAATATTATCATTATCATGATTCTCTTACAAAAGGATTGTATAAGGGAACTTATAGCATATGAAGCACCACCCAGTCAACTTTGTGTCATGGTAACACCACATCCTTGTTGGGCCACTATGGGTAATTTGGTAATTCACTGTATTTCAACTGTTTTCCCGTTCAGAGTTCTGGAAATTGAAGAGTTCTTTATGGGATGAACACTAAAATGTGAAATTGTGTATGTGACTGAATTATAAATCTTCCCGGTAATCTTCTTTCAAACTGAGTAATAATCAAAAGGCATTCTCTTCAATTCTAGAATTTTTTTGTTTGAGTTGTCTGAGCCCATGAGTTTGAGGCTGGAGTGCAGCGACACAATCACAGCTCACCACAGCCTCAAACTCCTGGGCTCAGACAATCCTTCAGCCTCAGCCTCCTGAGTAGCTGGGACTATTGGTACACACCACCATGCCCAACTAATTCTCTTAATTTTTTTGTGGAGTCAAGGGCTCACTCCTGAGTTCAAGCAATCTTCCCACCTCAGCCTCCCAAACTGTTGGGGCTACAGGTATGAGCCACCTCCTGGTCCAATTCCTGAGCATATTTGAACACCTGAGTTTTTGTTAAAAAAAGTCTTTACAAAATAAAGAAGTAGTATTGTTTATTTTTTCTTATGGAAACTCCTACTTTTATGCAGTTTAAGAAGTAGGTTATATAATTTCACAAATGAAGTGTAGAACTTTAGACCATTAAAAATTCTGTGATAGAATTCAGAATTTTGGGAGTCCTCTAAGTACTTGAACATGTAAGTAACACACAAAGCCATAGTTCATTATAAATATAAAAACCATGTTTTAGCTGGGCTCGGTGGCTCAGCCTGTAATCCCGCGCCTTTGGGAGGTTGAGGTGAGTGGATTGCCTGAGCCCGCGGGTTTGAGACCCGCCTGGGCAGCGAGACCTCATCTCTACAATAAATCAAAAAATCGGCCAGGCGTGGTAGCTCATGCCTGTAATTCCGGCTACTTGAAAGGCTGAGGCGGAAGGATCACTGGAGCCCAGCAGGTCGAGGCTGCGGTGGCCGGGAACGACCACTGCACTCCAGTCTGGGCGACAGAGTGAGACTCCAACTCAAACAAAAACAAAAACAAAAAAAACCCATATTTTTCAGATATTTGTCATGCATAATATCTTCTTGTTGTTTAACTTTCAACAATTTGTTCTCTTAAATTAAGACTTCAGGGCCAGGCTCGGTGGCTTAGCCTGTAATCCCAGCACTTTGGGAGGCCGAGGTGAGTGGATTGCCTGAGCCCGCAGGTTCAAGACCTGTCTGGGCAACTTGACGAAACCTCATCTCTACAATAAATCAAAAAAAAAAAAAAAAAAAAGAGCCGGGCGTGGTAGCATGCGCCTGTAGTTCCAGCTACTTGGAAGGCTGAGGCAGAAGGATCGCCGGAGCCCAGCGGGTCAAGGCTGCGGTGGCCGGGAGCAGACATTGCACTCCAGCCTGGGTGACAGAGTGAGACTCCAACTCAAAAAAAAAAAAAAAAAAAAGACTTCAGTCATTGACTCTCATAAGTTGCTATTATGTAATAAGTGAATGTAATGAATAAGCATGATTAAGATCAGGTTTACAATTAACTTTATATAAATAAGTTTTCTCAAATTATATAAAAAATTATATCAAAGTTTTATATAAATATGTTTTTTCAAATAAACCTTTTGAATTTTTAAAAAATATTTGAGACTGGATGCAGTGGCTTACACCTGTAATGTCAGCACTTTGGGAGGTCAAAGTGAGAGGATTGCCTGAGCCCAGGAATTCAAGACCAGCTGGGCAACATGGCAAAACCTCATCGCTACAATTAAAAAAAAAAAAATTAGTGAGGCGTGGTTTCATGTGCCTGTAACCCAGCTACTCAGGAGATTGAGGTGGAAGGATCACCTGAGCCCAACAGGTTGAGTCTGCAGTAGACATGATCATGCCAATATACTCCAGTCTGGGCAACAGAGTGAGATTCCAACTCAAAAAATTAAAAAATAAAGATCAATAAATTAATTTTTTAAGTTGACAGCTTAAAACATTTATTTAGTGTCTATATATATATATATATATATATATATATTTTTTTTTTTTTTTTGTGTT